ATGCTATGTGTAATCCAATGGAATGACAACATCCACAAAAGAGCGGAGAACAACATACTGACGAACAGAAAACACAATGCAGCCGTTTAATTACATGCTCGGAGAGCGTAGTGGTCGCTTGCAGACACTTTAGGCAGTCACTGTATATACACGTCATTCTCTTCCCATTGGCTCAAATTGAAATCTCTGGAGTATATGCTGCTGCGTTCAGATCAGCTCACTCGGACTTTCTGCAGAAAAAATACTAAGGGTCTGGCCGGAGAAACTCCGGGTAAAGTCTGCGCGAAAAATGCGGCTGTTTGTGTTCACACATAGCCTAAAGCCCCTCCGGGTAGCCAAATCTCCACAGTTTTTCCAGGAGTTTGTGTGAAAAGGGTTTAGATGACATGTTTGGGTGCTCACTGCTCACCTTGTATACTGCTGAGAGGTATAGCTATCTAATGTACTCGTTTATTTACTTTGGCTTTTCGAGTCATCCCTGATGATCCTTTTCCCATTGATGTGTGTATGTTTGAGCTTTTGTGTGTGAGTTTGTATAGATTTCACAATGTAAAAAACAAATGTTTTCCCACTAGACTGTTGGGGCTGCGCTCCATTCAGGGGATCAACAGGCTGGTCTCCGCAAACAGTTTATTTTATTGAGTGTATTTTGATTTTTGGCTGGGTGTGTTCTATATTTGTATCTCTTTCAGCAAATCCCAAAATCAACAACCAACAGATGAAGAAAATGTATCTGTTATCGATGTCCATTGTTATTTAAAACCATAAAAAGCATATCAATGCAAATCATGTGTACTGTATTTTTCAGTGAATCCCTCTTAAACTGCCTTTCTTTTAATACTCTGTATCTATATAAAAAGGGTGTATTATCCCACACCTAGAAATGAAAAAAAACTGTTTTTTTTCTCTCTCAAATGTTTTGTAGTTTTTTATCGCAATATTTTAGAATATGTAGTGCACATTTGAGACCCATATTTTAAAGATTTACATCTTTAGGTTGCCAACTGACCAGACAGCATCATCTTTAAGTATTTAAACATTTTTGTTTTTAACATTTTAAGTGAGTTATGCCAGTCTTAATCTTGTAAGTTAGAATTGTGTTGTGGTTGCGACTGAGATAACAGTTTGCACTAAATATAGGGGTATATAGAGGTCTTCCAAGGCTAGTGAGACAAGAAATTCTGTGTGTGTCCTCTCTAGTGAATGTCTCCCTAACGTGGTGCTCTGGTCAGGTGGGGGAATGTGTTTACAAGATGCAGATTGGGCACCAGGGGTTTGTTTATGAATAACAATGTTGTCTTTGGTTCCCTGTGGCTCCTTCTGTAAAAACTGGGCACACCAGAATGTCAAGCTGACCTTGTCATCTGCTCCTCCGTTTCTCTGCGACAGTGTTTGTGTGTCTCGCTGCAAGACTACTGTGAAGTGATTTAAAAATGAATTCAAAAGCAGCGACATAAATCAAGCAGCAAATAATCATTTGGAAATTGCAAATACAGACCCTGCACATTAGGACCACAGGGAGCACAGCCAACCATTAGCAAGAGTTTGTTGGTCTCACATCATCAATTTAATTAAAACTCCATTTAAGATGGAAGCCTGGGGAAGGTTTTTTCTTTTCCTTTCAGGGGAGTCAAGTCTTCAAGGCCAACAAAAACGAGTTTCGAGTTACTATGCTCTAATAAGGAAAGTGAATACAATCATTATATCTCATGTGCCACATCCCAGCAGGTAAGAACATGCGTCTTAAACCAGAGCCCAAGGGGGCAGAGCTGGTGGGTCTTTAATGGGCTGCCCTGTTTTGTCCCTACCTGAAGAGGTGGAAGCCACCGACGACGGTCACAGACAGAGAGCTGCAGTGGTGGTTTAATTACGAGGGGTCCTCCATCAATCATTCCCCTTGTGGCTGACAGTTAAATCCCTCCCCAGACCTACAGTACAGGGGCTCTCCTCGCCCTTCACAGTCCACAAGCTGAGCATGGTTCCTGTGGTCCCAGCACACACTGCACATGGACCTAATTCAATTCTCTGCAGCCCCTGAAAGCGCCACAGCAGAAGAAGAAAATAACACAGAAAAACTCTGTAGAACATGAAAGATATGGAAATAAAGCGGGACAATGGAAATGTTTTTAAGCGTGTCTGTGTGTAGATGTGAATGAATGTTTTACCTGCTCTTTTGTAAAGCGTCTCAAGATTACAATGAATTGGCCCTATACAAATAATGAATGATTGATTAATGTTCATTCATGCATGCATGCAAGTATATATTGTCCACAGCTACCGAACCATTAAACAGCCGTACTGTGGAGAATTTGCACCTTAAACATACTTATTTTCTCACAATTCTTTTACACAGGAAAAGTTTACGTTGATAGATTTAAAAAAAAAAACATTTGAGATTCCTTGCCAGGATTCAATTAGAAAGTTTGACAATACTGTTATTCTTGAAAGGTAATCATGAGGCTAGCACCAACAGCCGGTTGGCTTGACAAAACAGGCGTACCTGTGATCTCACTTATCAACATGTCTCATCCTTACATTGTAGAAAGTAACTATGTTGACAAAATAAATATTCCAGCACCTTCAAAACTATGAATCATTTGAACTCTTTACAGTTTTGATGTGTGTTAATAAGAGACCTCAAAAGTTGCTGGCAGATATATTTTGGTATCTTCAGGGCCAGTGTACACTTGGGCCATTTTTTGTGCTGGCAGTGCTCATTTTCAATACAAAACCAACGCAGTAAGTCATCCTGATTTCAACTTTTGGAACACTGCTGCACTCGTCTATTTGTGTTTTTACTTGCTTAGCAGTTTAACCAATTAAAATCAAGAAGGGGCAAGACATCTTATATTAGCTTTGTAAATGACAATGTAGAAATTAATCTGATTTGTCCATTCAAGGGTACGATTACCAGGTCTAGAGGTGCTGCTAATGTCAGGACACAATTCCTTTACATTGTTTTTTTTATGTTTTCTTGGTGATATTTCCTTGAATAATAGGAATAGGAATAGGAATTATTTTTGGTATGCTAGCAACAATAAGGGCTGGTGGGAAGTGCGCTGAAACTGCAGTTGTGAGTCAGTGCAGTAACTGTTGTTAATGATCATCTGTTCAAATGTACCTTATATCTGATATATCTGTTTTGATCCTTTCAATTTCAATGACAATGCAAATCATAACATACCTAAAAACGCTTATATGTCTTAAATTCCTTCTTAAAACCTATCATGGCTTCTTATCTTTCAATTTGACCTCCATTTGTTCTTTTTTTTGGGCTTTTATTCATTGTCCTGGCTCAGCACACAGATGTGCAACAGCAGCATCACAGATGTAGAAGGGATCAATCAACAAGCTGCTTGAACTAATTAAATAAAAGTAGAAAAGCCGGTGAACTTTCATGCTGGTGTCTGGAGGGGCTCCATTCAGCGCTGACTGTTGACATAACAGAGCTAATCTAAATGGCATCCTTAATTACACTCAAGGTATTGCTTCCATTTGCTCAAGTATCTCAGTGCCCCTCTTCTGAACTAATATTGTGTGCTTAGCTGATTAACAATCTGATCCACACCGCAGCAACAGTCAACATAATGTGAACATTTCTCCGCTTGATGGAAAATAATAATAAAAAAAACGTAATCAGCCAACACGACTGTGATCATAATAATGTTCACTGAGCAAAATGCAATTTTTCAGCCGACTGCTTTTGTTTGGGAAGTTTTTAGAGATGATTATTGTTTGTGCAATTATCTGAATAATAAAATATCCATTTCCAAAAAGAAACAGTTCCCACCTTGCCTGTAATTATACCCCTTTGTATCCACACGCTCACAGAGACAGAGTGCACATTTCATCCCAGGTTTTCCATCAGTATGCTTTCTCTCTTCCTGTAGGCTATGGGACAGAGGTTAATGAGATCTTAATTGGCATTTTCTTCAGAGCTCACAAATCTTTAAACTGGGTGGTGGCAGTGGGAAATGTAACATTACCATGCTGTCCAGTGAAAGCCCTTACACACACACTGGCTGTCATGTCAGGGTACTCTGCTCTCACGGAGGAGATGAGAATATTAACTAAGCAGCAACCTCCAGGGATGAGAAATAAAGTTCCTCCAGTGGCCACTTGAGGTTGGCTCCCAAAGTGAGTCAATCCCCCATTAGGCCCCATTTTAAAATGTCCAACAGCAGAAATAATCATCTTTATAGCCTGGTACAGGTGTCTAAATGTTTATCTATTAATGGCAATGACATGTGGCTGAACATTTAAAAATATAATTATATAAAGGCCTATTTTAAACATAATAAGGGGTGTAGCCAGTTAGAAACTACTAGATGTCAGCTAAAAGCCAATGAGGTCAACCTCTCTCCCTTTCTTGTGCTATTGGTCCCATTTTCTTGTGGAAGCCAGTGCATAAGAGTAGGATTGCTGTTGGCTTTTCACCTTAAAGAAGACAACTGGCCACCTGCTACTTGCTCTTTAGGGAGACGTGGGCGACCAATCATCCTTCTTAACTTAACACAACAATCAGATTATTTTCCTTGGGGGAAGTGATGGTTAACTAGCGTTTTGTTCAATACATGGGGTTAGTCAGGGGCATAGACCATCTACCTTTGATAACTTTTGCCATTTTGGAACCGCTTCCTCCTCTCTTGTGGAACCCTCTTTTCAAATATGATCATTTTTGACTCAAGAAAACCAAAATGCAGAACTCCAGGCCACAAAAAGATGGTTTACAAACCAGCGGGTTATGTTGCTCTTAATACCTCCAATTATCTTTACATTCCATTCCATTATAGGCCACTGCCTCCCTCCACCACCCATACCTACAAGTGGCCGGATTGTGTTGCAGTGTGTGGCTCAATTATATCTCATTAAATTGTTTTGTTACAAAGATGAATGTGTAATTGGTCTGCTCCCTTCAGCCACATTCCCCATCTCACCTTAGCTCTTGAGAAAATGAAAGGTCTTGTGATGCTGTGGTCAATAAAAGCTAGTACACGCTCTTGACATTGTTGTGTATTTCTTAAATGTTATGAAAATACAATATACAGAGCAACAATACAATGCTTTGGAGACTGTTCAGTATATACATAACAGGTCGTCTGCCGTGTTAAGAGGATGAGAATGAACCACAAGGTTGTGCCTTTTTTTTCCCCCAACAACATGCAGGAATAGCTCTCGGCGTTATTTTGACCTTTCCTGAAATCTTCTGCAGAATAAGGACCTGGCGTAGGAAATTAATATCCAAAGTGTTACAAAACGTTCAAAACCATTTAATGTGCACACACATTCAGAACATCTATCTTGTCAAGTTTTTGTCTGTTTTTGGAATCTACATGTGGTCGGATTATCCCAGTTCATAGTTGCTGCCGATCAACCAATTACTGGATTCTACTTAAACCCTGTAGTAATAAAACGAGGATTAAAAGGTAATCATCTGATAAACAAATGAGGAAAAAGAACCACCTGGCGAGCTCATTCAATGACATATTTTTTTTGTTAGTGATTCGTCATCAGTTACTTGTGTATTAATGACAATCCTCTTAAATGTAATGACCCTTTGGCAGTTTGGGGGTGATTCTGAAGTACATGTTCTCCTCTTTCATCTACTGAGGGCCCGGTTACTGTTCAGACCCACTTTCTTCTGAAAGGCATAAGGGTGAGTTTGTTTCAAGTGCACACAGTACATTATGCCACCTCTTTTAAAGCACTGTCATTTAACCTTTCCATGTAATTGCGCAACTCCTTGGAGTCTCCCAGCTCCACGTCTTGGCACACCCACTTAATGTCCTGGCTGCAGCTTCCAGTCAGTGTGTTCACAGTGGGGTAGCTATTGTCCGAGGGGATGGTGGTGAATGTGGTGAACTTGACTCGCTTCCTCTTGGTGGTGGGTGAGTCTCCTTTGCTGTCCTTGGTTATGCAGGCTGTTTCCGCTGCTCGGTGCACTTGGCCCTGGACGTTCTTCTGTGTCGAACCTCCATTCAGCAAGTGGCTGCCTTCCTCAAGCCCGCTGCTGGAGTCCATCATGGAGGTCTGCTCCTCCTGCTGGGGGGACAGGCTTATCTGACTCTCCAGAAGCTCCGCCTCGTTTCCAAGCCAGACCCAATCGTGGGCATGGTTCATGTTCTCCTGGCCCTCAATCGAGAGCTCCTTGTGGCGGTACTTCAGGGTATATGAGATGCAATTGATTAGAAAGACCAGGATGGCCAGGCAGAAGACACCGAGCAGAGCGTACATGCCAATCTCCAGGTCTGTGAGCCCACGTGTAGTCTGCATGAGATCATCCTCCATATTGCGACCTCGGGGCAGGTCCACTTGTGCAGGGAAGTCAGCAAAGTCGACTGGCACGTTCTGGCTTCCATCTGACAGTTTCTCCTCGTTTGGTCGACGCATTATCGCGCTTCTAGTAGTGGTGGCTCGCCTCAAAACCCCATCCTCCATGTCAGAGATGGAGCTGCCGTAGTAGTGGTTGTCAAGGCCAGTTCTGTCCTGGGAGGGGGAGAGCCTGCCTCTGTTCTCCATGTCATCCCCGTCTGGGCTGTAGTCACTGCCCCCTCCCCTCGAGCTGTCACTATGACCAAACTTTACCCTGACGTTACAGTTCCCCGCTGCCAAGATGCTGCGGCGCTTAAACTTCTGGCAGACCTCGCACACCGTCATTTCCACCCTGACCAGCAGGCCTTGGCCCTCCGTTTCGGTCACAATGACAGGCCACTTCCAAGAGGGGTTCTGCTGCACTGTCACTACTTCCTCATCAAGGGAGGTGGCTGTCAGGATGAAAAAGTCAGGATTGTACAGGTCGAGAGGAGCCACAGAGCCGTCGCTGAACTGAAGCCAGGCGCTGATCAAGGCCTCCTGTGGAAACACACACACAACATGCAGACAGAGAGTGGGAGATAATATAAATAGAGAGTGGAAGATATAGTGCAAAAATACTGCATCTAGCTGCATCAGACTGGAACAGATACAACTGTGGCTCTGTGTAAATAATACGTCTTCTTTACTGGGTAGTTAACCAGATGCTGTTCACGTAATATCCCATAGCTTTTTGCCGCTGGGATGTACTCTCACACAATGGTTATTTGCATTTAATGTTTCCTTTGTCATTTAAAAACAGATGAACCATATATGAGAAAGTTTGTAATTGTGGAAGACATTTTGAGCGGAATACAAACTGACAGAATTGCAAGGTTATGCTAACTCAGCAGCAATTCTTGCAAAGCTAAGGGGGATGCAGATTAAAAGATAGCTGGAACAGATCAAACAGTAACATTAAACATTGTTCATGCGATGAGGATTTGTCCCACATAGGCCTCTTTAAGCCCTCTCCTACTACAGTTTCACAATTTGCCGTAAAATGTCGCAGAAGGACAAATCCCCAAAGGCGCACAAGTAGATCCTCTCAGTGGTCTGTCAACGCTCCCTAATTACTGGCGCCAGAGGACTAGAGAGCAGAACTACATACTTATCTTCACACTTTGGGTGAGGAGATAGGGCAGATAAATAGCCTTCCTATCCTTCTTACTTGGAGGAAGTGGGAGAAGAGGGATGTAAAGGAGTAGTTCAGAGATCTTGACGGACAAATCAAAGAGGCCACAATGAGAGAAGATGGGATGAAATATGTTTGGGCTGTGAGTCATATTTTGGTACAGAACTGTGTTGTTGCTGTTTTATGCTCTGAGATTATGCTCCAGTTTCTATTAGCCGCCCAAGGAAACACATTTTGTCACACTCTGGCTTCAAGCCTTGTAGTTAAGAGCGTTAGTGATGGTTTCAGAACAAACAAATAGACATGTGTGCATGTGCACATGCACATGCATGATTTTCTTTGATTGTAAAATTACTCATTCAAGGACTTCGCGATTGTGAACTAGAATCTGGAAGTATGTGTTGTTGTAATGGAAAGCTTACGTATCAATGCTGCAGAATGCCCAGTTCTGATTTGAATAGATAAAGTAGGAAATTCTGCTTTACAGCAGCTCAGTTGCTATGAAACCATTGAAGTATAATTCAATATGCTAGGAAATAATAACTACTGTTTTGAGATAAAATTAAAATAATAATCTCTTTTTATCAATTATATTTTTGGAAATAATTACTATTTCAGTCTTTTATCTGGAGGCTGGCAATTCAGGAATATCTTAATTATTGATTAAACTGATAATTTTCTTCTTAAATGATCCATAAATATTTTGTCAATGAAGTGTCAGATAATAGTGGATAATGAAATGAAATGTTATGTGGAGCAGAGGATAGCCCCATTACTATCAGACAAGACAAAACACATGAAACGCATCACTTGAGAAGATAAAAAAAGAACATGTGTGGAATGTTTGCTTGAGGAATGTCACAATGAATGAACTAATCTTTTACAATCTGCTTATATACTGGGTATCCTGACCTGTTTTGGGCTCTGCAGGATCTCCTGAGTGGTGGTGGTAGCCAGGATGGCTCTGTTACTCCCTGGACTGAGCTGCAGGCTCATGGAGAGGCCTGCCACCATTTGGACCCCCAACTCAGTGATGGTCACTTTGTCATCCACCACTGTGATAGTCTTCTCTGCAAGGATTGAGTCTGACAAAGGAGACAACACCTAAGAGGAGAAAGAGACGTTGGAGAAGAGGAAAAGGAAAGGATGTTGAAAAGAAACTATTCCACAATATTTCCTTCCAATTTGTGATTGTCAAGAAATAGCCTGTTACATCCGTCCGGCTATGATCAATTACAACCGGTCTTATCCTATAATACTGACTCCACCTATTGTGCAGCCTGTTCATGAAAGCTTTTTGATTTCCTTCTCTAAAACACCCAGGCTTCTTCAGGACTTTCCCAGGAGAAATCAGAAACAACAGCACCGTAGCTGAACTGAGTAAAGATACTACCCACAGGAGCTTCATCCACAGAAAAATTTGAGCAGGAATAAGTCTCCACTGATCACGAAACTTGATTGACAAGTGATTCCTGGCAAGTGGAATGCAAAGACATCACATCAATGAGCACTTAGCAGTGGAGATGTCACAGACATGAAAAAAGCGGATTAGCGTGAGTTTTAGGTGATTTAAGAAAATGTCTCTCCAACTGTTTCATCTAACATAAAAGGCTCACGAGGCCCTGCGCAATATGCAAAACGATGACAGAACCTACTTTTTATTTTATCTCTTTTCTCAGGCTGTGTAGATCAAACAACAACTCTACTTAGCTGCCATTCAACCTCCATACTTCCTGCAGGTAAGACTCTATTCCCTTTGATTAATGCTGGTAATCCAAAGAAAAGGCTAAATTTAACCCCAAAACAGAAGCAGGAAGTCTTACTTCTTTTCTCATAAATGGAACTAGTTATATGTATGACTTTCTCAGCATTTATATCTTCATTTAACTTCTCCTTATGCATCAGTCGGTGTGACATGGGGCATGAGTAGCCACAGCTGTCAGATCCTCGCCCTTGGCATGTTTCTGGTTCGTGCGCTCTTTCTTAGAGTGACGATGTTTTTTTGAAGGTGAAGCCCGGTTTGTGGGTGCCTTCTGACAGACGAGACCTCAACTCCAGGGAGCAGATCCTTCTCACACAAATGCCATTAGAAGGCTGATATTCATCCAGTTGGCCTGAAGGGTCTGACAAACTAAAGGGCTGAGGTGGAGGATACACCACACCAGAGACACACCAGAAAGGACCTGTCTGCACTGCACAGAAGGAGGGACTTGTAAAGCTTCAGCACAGACAGTGGCATCTTGTTTATTCCCTGGAACATGATAATGTCAAAGTACCACATTGAAGTGGTAGAGAGTACGTTCATTTAAGTAAATATAAACTGTTCATTTGCCCTCAATTTGGTGATTACAATATTAGTTTTGAGCCATTAGAATAACAACCTTATTATATTCTCTAATTACCAAAACAGCCCTTTTCCAAAACCATTGGCAGCCTTCAATGTCGTCTGCGCTCCATTTTACATTGTTCAACCTCAGATTCTGGGACACGCAAGTACAATGACTTAAACCTACAAAAATGGAAGCAGCGACACAAATGTGACTGCAGCTTTAAGAGATTCTCAGGACGGCAGGTGGTAGAATGACTGAATGCAGATTTACTGTTATCAGGAGCTTTTCACAGATCCTCTGCTGGCCGCTCACTGAGTATTGATAAAGAGAGGAACAAGGAGACAGGGAGCGACATATTCATGGGAAATTTGGTTTTCATCTTGGATGCAATGGCACAACTGAAACATCACAATTACCAGATTGAACAAGCAACTAACACCATTAACAATGAGAGATTGGTCACCTACCACGGTCTGCCACGGTATTTGGCTATCGGAATAATAGCTTGGGCTTATTTTGTAATTGTATCCTTCATTTCCGTCACACACAAAAGCATATAACAAATAAAAGCACTTTGGGAATGTGGCCAAATTGATACAATAAAGTCCAATGGGCAAGAAGCACAAGCAATCAGGAAATCAACAAAAGCCAATAAATTAGCTAGATTATTTAAAGATAAACATGAAAGTGAGTTTAAACAGAAACTCCCTCAGAGCACAGGCTAACAAGATGACCTTCTAAAGAACTGTAGGTAAAAGTTGAAGCAAGAGCCGAGTCTCTAAAATGCGATGGATGTTTGCACGACGTACAGGTTGTTAGTTTATAGCTTGCTTTGGTTTGCTTGTCTTAGAAAAGTTATTTTGGTTAACCAGAGTTTGTTTGCATTGCTCTGACAGACGATCTGTTCTTCATGTTGCTTTAATTGACCTAATTTAAGTGATGTTGTCAGACTTGCAGAACACAGACATTAAGATACTAGCTGTTAAAATCTGAAGCTAATCTTTTACAGAACTGTTGCTAAATGCTACACACTAAATCCTTTTTTTCGTTTCCCTCTTTTCAGCTAACATGTAACCTACCTGAATCGTGGTCATCCCCATGTCGAGTCCGACCAGTATCTTCCTGTCGAGCAGCTGAGCAGTCTGGGGGTCCTCCACCTTCAGGAAGTCCCACACCAGCTCTGTGATGTCCACTTGCCAATCAGAGCCCAGCATGAAGCTGGTCTGACCTCGAGGATCAGCTGACTCAGCAACAAAATGAGTCAGGACTCGGACCATGGCGTGTTGGTACTGCAGAGTGCAGCTTCGGCCCCGCCTATCTTCATCATCCTCATCCTCACTTTCCCGTGTGGACCTGACAAATTAAAAGAAGATACAACTTTAAGTTTGTTTCAGCCTTGCTGGACGAATAGAAAAGTCTATTGACAAAAATGTTGATTCACCATGGCCTAGAATTAAAATGTCTTTACCAGATACTTTCCAGAAAGATTGTGATGATATGCTATGGAATATGGTACGACATGTATGGACACAGAGGATGCATCCTCAGCTTTATAGGCATCCTTTTTTTGTCTCTCTAACGAATGAGGTTAACATTTTATGCTTTCATGTGAATCATCTCGACACGATTTGAAGGATTGCCATGACTTTTCAAACAGCCATGTTAAAAAGTGGTGAGACTGATTTTGGTTATAATTATTTTTCCCTCTGGTTATCAAATCAAAATGTAAATCTGTCCAACACTAATTTCTATGTTCCAGTACCTCCATAAGTTCTTACATTCTTTACAGCTCCAGTAGAACTTTGTGTTTGCAAAGTTTGTTCCAATCCACAAAAGGTTAAATGAAGGAGCAGTTAGCATGTCCTAGTTAGTCATGAATCAACCAAAATGTCAGATAGATGCTATAAGCAATACAATATTATTAGGAAAAGGGTCTGTTTGTGTTTCAAACAAAGTGTTATTGTGTTGTTAGCCAACCTGTCGAAGCTTAATTTACTTTTTGAAAAAAGCGTCTTTAAATAGACAAAACCTTTGAACTTTCGATGAGTTTTTTTTTCATCAGCCTGATATCAGCTTTTTAATAATAATAATTTATAGTTTATTAATCCCGCAAGGGGAAATTCTGTTTTACACTTAATGAACATGAACACACACATAGGCTGAAATACACACATGCACAAACAAGATCCTATGGACATTCATCAATGGAGAGGTCTCAGAGTGAGGGGGCTGCCCACAGCGAGCACTTCAGAGCAGTTTTTAGGGGTTCGGTTCCTTTCCTCGAGGACACCTCGGCAGTGCTCAGTGTGGGCAGTGGACTGCCACCTCTCTAGCTATCAGGTCAATTTCCAGACTTGGTCAGTGCTTGGACTTGAACCGGCGACTCTCCGGTCCCTACAGACTGAGCTACTGCCGCCCTTTACATAGTAGACATAATTTTATGTACTTGGTTATTATTTTATTTAAAAAAAAAAAGTGGACTCACTGTATTTGCCAAGCATATCCCGCACACACACACACACACACACACACACACACACACACACACACACACACACACACACACACACACACAGAGCAGTGTAACTTGTACAGTAGTTGTCTGTCTAACCGACAAAGCTTAGGCTCAAAGCAGTGGTGTTGATTCAGTGACTAAGAGAGGATCAATCTAGCGTATGGCTGTAGTTTCTCTCATTCAGTGTCTCTCTTTTACCATTTCAGATCACGCAGGCTGGATTCAAACGTGCTTTTTACCTCTTTACTGCTTTGCTAAATAGTCTCGCTGATTGCTCTGCTGCCAGCAAATCTAATTTTATTGCTTTAGGCGACAAATCAGCCAACAGAGGCTCAGCTATTCCTCAACACAGAAATTGCTCTGAGTATGACAAACTCAGTCTAAATGGTTCAAGTACAGCTGCAACATCATTCGATTTTGCCCAATATATGATTTCTTTTTTTTTTTTTTTTGCTTTAACAAACAACTTTATGGCTAATGTTTGAACAGTTGATCTGGGAAAATAAATGCTGTTACAGCTCTTCAGTTAAACACTGGGGCACATTTGGGACACAAACAGAAAAGTGCTTCGTCAACAAAACTATTAATCACTTCCTGTACGGGAGACTAACACTCGCCTTTCTGCTACAGAAACCATCCACATTTGATCCTCTGCCTCTGCCTGCCTCTCCCTCCCTCCCTCTCTCTCTCTCTCTTTCCACATACACACTAGCAAAGGGTTGCGATCATGATAAAGGAGAGAGGAGAATAAATTAATCTCTTAAACTGTTTTTCTTACGATTATCCGCTGTGGTTGTCTTTTTCTGTCTGAATCCCCTGAGAAATCTGACTGCATGCGAAGCCGTGGGAATAAAGATGTTAGCTGCTGCACGCTCCAGAGAAAAGCTCAGAGCACAGTGAGATTTGGAGTTAAGGGCTTAAAACCTTCTCTGGAAAGGACCGATTTCACATGCAACTGAATGACAGCCATTCACAGAAGGAGTTATTTGACTGTGGATATTCTCGTATCAAAAAAGGATTCAACAAGGTTCAAGAGCACCAAGAGATTCCAGCCAAGGGATAACATACCTAATTAAACAAAAAGAGCTGGGTTCTAGACTCACTTGTGATAAACTCAGTTTCAATAATGACTGAACTGTGGTGCCCAAATACAAATCGGGTCATTTTAATTCTCGCTCTACATCCGAAAACATTTGCAGGAAACATAAAATGTTCACAATTGTAACACTAAACCAAGTTAAAATAATTACAAGCCTCACATTCTAAACTCATTAGGATTGTGTGGGTGTCCATGGTAACAACAGATTTGATTGAACATGACCGACCCACAAAACAGTTCCCTAAGTTTATTTGAAACTTTAATTGCATATTAGACGGACACCATGATCACTCAGCTGTGTGACAGCTTCATATTTCTCTTTGCATTGTACGTGCCTTTACTTTAATAATGTTAACGCTGCTCTCTTGAGCTCTTTTCACACAGGGGGTTCAGACATTTTCGAGATAATTTCAGGACATTCTGGCTCAGATATTTTCAGGAGCACTCGTTTCACACATGCACTTCACAGCAGGAGATGATCTGTGTCTGAAGAGCTTTCACAACCCAAAACACTCTGTTTAGTTTAGGTGGCGGGGCTGGGTTAGTAGGAGTGCAGAAGGAGGAGGAGGAGTCAGTAATCCTGTATTATCCGTAGTGACTGTTAGTGATTAATAACTCCACAACATGCACAAGGACTTAAACTCAAGACAAACACAACAGTGGAAAACAACCGAGGTGAGCAGTAAAACGGAAAAAGCAGCATGATGAATGACATCATGGGTCGGCCCACAAGGTATTGCAGTGAATTGTCCTAAATATGACCTGCATTCACACAGTAGCTCACCCCGGTTCCTTTGTGGTTCCCCCACTGTCTCTCTCCCCCAAAATAAATCTTGATTGCCCTATATCTGGAAATCTGGGATATAAAGGAGGTAGTAAAAATGCCAATGAATGTTCTTCTCTATGATTGTGAATTGTTTCTTTTAGTGATTTTTAAATTTTCTTTAAAAAAGCATTAAAAACTTTTTTTCCCCTCTGTCATGATGCTTTTGATGTTGTGTGAAGCACTTTGAATTGCCTTGTTGTTGAAATGAGCTTCAAATTTAAGATAAAAAAAGATTTCCATAAAATGCAACACTTTCATTGCAGAGGATAGAGTGACTGTCTATGAACGCGTCACTTCTTAAAGAAAAATGTATTGGTAGGGCTCCTAATACTGATGCTTAATCTGCTTCAAGGACTTTGTCGACATGTCTGCATGTCGGTGCCCAGAGGATCAGATTAGGCACCTTAATCCATGTGGCCCACATTAAAATGGACAGAGACTGAATTTTATTATGAATGAGCAAACTATTGGATGTATTGTCGTTTCAGAAGGGACTGCAGGAAGGATGAGTGAATGGATGTCAGTCTCGTGTCTAATCATTGGGATGAAAGGATTTGTATGGACTTCTGTTGAACACGTTATGAATCAGCTGTTTCTTAACAGTTCAATTTCAAACACTATCTTAGTGTTAGGTTTAGCAGATCAGCTGTGCCTTAGCATGCCCTACATGACACACATTATGCATATTCATAAATGCTAACTCCCCCACTTATGACTTTTATGTCATTTCCTACGCGGAGGAGGAACACTGCATCACATTTCCAGACTAAAACGGGGTTATTTGAGTCCTCCTGGTTAATATTATCTTTGTTATAATGAAATGCATGGATCGCTTGCCTGCTGTCTCTCGCTCTCTCCGTTACCTGAGTCCACAATAGCTAATTAAAGGCCACCCTCTCTATTCATGTATAAACAAAAGAACTTTGAGCTGCATAAAATGTAGCACTTTCTCAAATATACTTCATTTCAACTGAATAACAAGGTTTGTGATACATGGCTTTTTGATCAAACATTCATTTTTTCTTTAAATGTTTGTTCTCTTTTTATATATTCGTGCTCTACACCGTCTCGACATCTCTCAACTCATTTACATATTGAATGCAGAGGACAAACCACCTGCCAATGATTTCAGTCAACATCTTCCAATTATTCACATGGCAGTAATTGAAAGTTTCTCACCGCTGATTGCTTTGGTTAAATACTTTAGAATTGTTTGTTTGAGGGTTTCTGGCACAAACAGAATTTGTTGTCTGACGTTCACAGCCAGTGAATTGACAAAGGGCACTTTTGTTCAAGAGTATGTAACGGCATGTTTGTGTATACAGACATTTACAATGCCAATATTAGCCAGGTGTAATGGATTCAGAGATAAACAAGCTGATAGTGAAGTCAGACCATTCATGCTCTGGTGTGAGTCTTATATGTCAGTGAGCTTGTGCAACTATCTCCAAATCTAATCTAAGGTTAATCTAATGAACAAATCACACTCCATGCAGAGAACAACTGGCTCCACAAAGCAATTCTTCTTTCCGCTTCATTTACTTTCATTCACAGTTCTGACTGAGAGACGCTGCATATTAATGTGTGTGTGTGTGTGTGTGTGTGTGTGTGTGTGTGTGTGTGTCATGCTCATTTCTGTTGTGAGCCGTGTGTGCTGTATTTGTTTTGGCATTTTGTTGCATTTTATTTTCTGCTACAATAACATGACAAAGGTCGTTTGGTCTGAAATAGGAAGCGCTGCATCTATATACAGACGCGGCTCTATCTGACAACAGCTGATTGTTGTCTGAATCTTGTTGGGATTTCAAGTACAGCTCTTTGTTTGACATTACAAATGAGTCTGATTTTGTACTTTACGGCATTTCAGTGTACACATATTCAAATTTGAGTTTTTAAAAGCGCGAAGACTTTTTAAATTGCTCTAAAACAACAGTGGAACAGTATCTCAATACCCGTATCTTGAAAGACGTGCTAAAGGAGTGTTGCATGTCTCAGTGCTACGCCTTAAGTTTCTGTCTGCAAAGACTTATCTCGTCCTTGTTTTGACAGGGCTTACGGAGGGAAGAGGTGAGCCATACAAGCAATGTCAGTCAAAAAACAGTTAGAGCAGTGCTTCTGCAACTATCCCACTTAGAGGCCTGATGTTTTTTAAGTTCTTATCTCTCTCTTCTGTTCCTGTGGGGCCGAGACTTGCCAGCCTGGTTGACAGAGCAGAGTCCGACACTGGCTTTGGTCGCTCTGTGGCTCGGCTCCTTGCTGGCTTCTCAACACTGAAACAATGCGAGTTCTCACAGAAAGGCACCATTGCAAGGTCACGCCTGTTATCCCCAGATAAACGAAGAGTGGGAGAAACACAGCTCAGTGCGGCCCCTCGGCTCTGGTTCTGGCGTCTACAATGACAACAGCACTTAGCTGTCCTGGTTGATAAAGGCATACCAGCAGCATCCTCGAACGAGCCGTGGTATTAGTTGAACGCTGAACCTCTGTCACTCAAAATAAGAGCGGAGCAGAGATAATTAGAGCAGCCACACTGTTGCGTGGGATGACTCTAAGTCCAAGTCCAACCCTGCTTTTCCCGAGTAATTACTGCAGGTAGGCTGATGGCTGCTCCATCAACTGATAGATTTCAACAGTTTCAGAGTCGTGCAGCACAGTGGCGTTGGCAGAGGTGCCGTTAGTGATGACACCCCCGGGGGAAAGGTCTGACCTCCAGACAGCTCTAATAATGTCCTGTCCTACACACGACTACAAAGTGCAATGGCAGGCCACCTTAAGCCAGTCCTAATGACAAGCCGTATTGCTCAGGTCAGCCATTTTGTTATCAGAACTGTCAGTACTGATGTCAGGAGGAGACGGGTGCTGTGGTGTTCAGTCACACCTCTGGTCATTATCTTATCTAAAGCTGCCATGATTGAAATCGAATACATCACCTGGAAAAAAAAGGCTGAGAGCTACTGCTCGGTGGGCAACGGACTCTTATCATGAGCTTTTGTAAGAGCAGCAGGACAGTCCTGAAGGACAGAACTATTGTAAGGGATTAAAAAAACTATTTATCTTTATATAAATCCATTTTACATCATTTACATTTATAATGACCAGGATGCTGTTTCAGTTAATGGTAGAGTGCCAATAAAAGGAAATGTAAGGAGATACTAAGTCAATCTAACCCCTCCAATCAGTCGTGACATGTTTTTAATTTAAACTTTATTTAACCAGGAAAAACTAGTTGAGATTAAAAAATCTCTTTTTCAAGTGCGTCCTGGCCAAGACAGGCAGCAGCACAGTTAGCAAAGTTTGAGAGAAACAAATGATGACAGGTGTATTTTAAATGTTTCTAGCCCTATGAATTAAAAAGCCTTTTATAATTTCAAACCATCCTGAGTGCCTGGACCTGGATCATTAATACCAATGATTTCCTCCAACTTTTTATTGAAGTATTCCCTTCCATGAGCACTGGTAGTCTGAGGGACACCTGAAGTGCTCCTGTTGTCTCTTTTGTAAGTCAATGCATTAGTTAGTTAGTTGCTGGGGAAACATGACAGGCTGTTTCTGTCTGCTTAAAATTGCTTCCTCTCAATAGGACTTGTGGAAAAGGCGTTTATAATACGTTTGTTGATACATTCGTTTTTTAATGGAAGGTTTTGTTTGCTTTCATAGGCCCCTTATATAATAATAATTTAATCTGGGCTGTTTTAAACTATTTAAAAACTCCTCTTAGTAGCTTTAATCTCATGCTGACAAATCCAAAACAAGCTGAGTAAGCTATAAAACACTCCATCACCAAGTCTGTGTGTGAAATGTGACAACTTGTTCGTCAAAAAGTCTCATAAATTCAAATGTATTTTCTAAATATGAGAGCAGATCAGGGTGACACATTAGCCTCTGACTGACAGACGCATGCAGCGATGTACCTCTGACTTGTTGCCAAGATGGGGACCCTCCACCCTTTGATCTGACTCAGCTCCGTGTCAGACACCTCAATCTGAAGGGGGAGCCGCGGGATCCACACGTTGAGCTCCAGCTGAGCGCTCAGGTACCCGTAGGTGAAGTTCACCATCATCCTCACCTTGCCCTTCATCTCTTTGCCGTTCACAAAAACGTAGTCGCACCTGTCTGACACCTGCGAGGGAAGAGAGGGAGGGATTATTAGAGGTAGAATTTAAGTTGAGCTCTTCTGACAGCTGCACTAGATGAGCACACCGTGAATTACAGAGTGCTGCGTACACTGTAGGCCGGGCCCTCCAACTTGATTATAAGGCTTTACACTCTGCACTGATACAGTATTGCTGTAACTACCTTGAACAAGATGAAAGGTCCTATATCTGGGAAAATAAGCAGGGAGGAGGGCAGTAAGGACATGTTTGAACCTGAGGGAAAACAGGTCGTGCTCTGCTCCTCTGTTATACTTCTGCCTACAGCTAAAAGAAGAGCAGACAGATGGATACAAGGAAGAGGAGAGCAGTTGTCTCTTGATAAAAATGACCAAATTCAGAGCCATCTGTTTCATAAATTGCTTTACAAACGGAGTGGGCCAATTTTGTTCCTATCAAAAGACACAAGTCCTTGTTGCTTTGGCTCCATCTCTTTGAAGCCTCCCCTATGTTTCTTTCTTTACTCATACCAGAGCTTGATTCATGTCCAGAATCCTCTCTTCTTTCTTTCTTTGAAAGCCTTATGTTATAGACGTGGAAGCATTACAAAAACACACCATATGTAAATACACATAAAGCCAAAGAAGATCTCTGGAGGGATATCCAGCATTGACACACACACGCGCACACACACACACACACACACACACACACACACACACGCACACACACACGCACACACACACGCACACACACACACGCACACGCACACACGCACACACGCACACACACACGCACGCACGCACGCACGCACACACGCACGCACACACGCACACGCGCGCACGCGCGCACGCACGCACACACACACACACACACACACACACACACACACACACACACACACACACACACACACACACACACACACACACACACACACGCACGCAGCCCCCCACCCCCACACACACACACACACACACATAGAGGCATTTAATCAGTATGTCTTAAACAGAGATACTCTGTTTTTTGGGCACTTTGTCAATCCTATTGATCCCATCATATAGCAGACTATCATGGCTGGAACCAGATGGAATTAGATGGGTTTGGGAAATATCTTTTTTTCTACTTCCAAGTTATTTCTCCACAGCGAGATAAAACCATAAACAGCCATTCATCACGAGGCTGCAGCAGGAGATCCTCTGTGAGTACGGCGAATTCTTTGTGTGTGACAGATTCTGTAGCTTTGTGGGAGCTCCTTCCATTTCACATCACGTCCGAAGTGAGGCCAGCAGCAGACTCTCTGTGGAAACTAAATTTGGCTGGTTTGTAAAAGCAGATATTCAGGAGATTTGCTGCATTGATTTTACACTCTGTACTGTCGCCTCTGTGCCAGGACGTGTGGTAAAGTGTGAAGCTGCACACTACTGGCATATGTTTGCTTCAACAGAACACTCACAACTCTCTATTTCAAACTAACATTGAGACATGTTGTGTAGCAACATGCTCTGTAAAATGTCACTTCAGAAACAGAATATAGAGAAATAACCAATATATAAGTGTACAGATTCAACTTAAGAAAGCGAGCAACGGTAATCATTACATGCACAAAGTGGAAGCTAGCTAGCCTAGCCCAAATCAAATTAACACAGATTCCTAAATAACATTTTATTTTCAGTTCAAATTGCTGAGTCATTGTCAGCGGCTGATCACTCAATGCTGTGTTTGTTTCACACATCAGAAAGCTAGTTTCAGTGTCTTTCTTATGGGTTGAGTTTTTGGACGAGACAGTCAAAACTTACAGATCTGTGACTCTCAGCACTTCTCATTTTACACGTAGACTGTATACAAACGTGGATGTAGCCTCAGTATCATCATTTAATGATCATGAAACAGATTTTTGGTGCACATTGGGGGCTGTTGACATGCTGTCTCAAACTGACTTTTGGTCAACCTAGTAACGTACTGACGAACAGCTACAACAAGCCTGTCCATCAGTCAGATCAGCCCAACCTTTATTATGAATAACTCGGCCTTAGTATCTCGAAAAAAGACGAGTTGTAATAAAATATCACCCCATGTCTGCCAATAAAGAAATTAGATTTTCAGACCAAACCCTTTTGAACCAGGCTGTTAAGCTTTTTTTTGGACACTGTTGAATTTCTGTGGCCTTTGCAGCCAGCCTCAAATGGATGTTCAAGGAACATCCATTTTTCACTTCATTAACTTAACTCCTTATTTTTCGCTTAATTTTCCCAATAATTCACATTGCAACAAAGAATTATCTACCCAAGCAGCCAGTTCGCTAAGTTCCACAAGCCCTCTTAGATTTTGAGTCGTCTGAATAAACAAACAATGGATAACTTACTAATTCACTCGCTAATGAATAAGCCATGTGCACAGACTGTACAGCTTTGATAACTTGGCCCAGCCCCTCGATCCTCTCCAGTGACACTCTCTCTTCTAAACAAGTTCACTTCCTGCTCCAAAACACAAATACTAAGACAGCCAAAAGGCAGAACTCAAACCATCAGCACAAATGTCATGGTGGCTAGGCCACTTATTTATAGGCTTAAAGTCTATAGTTCAAAATCACAACAGCCAAGAATCTGAAATTTCTGTTTGTTTGTAACAATCTGATGAAATAATTTAGAAAGACATGCAGACACCACAGATATGCATACTGATTTGTCCACTTAAAATCTTCTCTAATTCTATTTTTAGTTTAGATTTCACAGTATTTTTTCAGTGGTATGGCATTTCTTAAAATTATACAAAAAAGTAACAGCAAGTTGATAAAAGTAGTGAATTTCATTTCTGTTTATTGACCTGGGCGCCACAAAAGACTCATGGAAAAAGACCCTGAAAGGAAGTTAAAACACTTCCTGCAAACAGCGTGTAGAAAACTATTTGGGGTCTTGCAAATAAGCACAGAGCAAGTACTTTACAGGCGGACACAAGCAGGCTCCAGTGCTATGTGCTCTACAATGCACAACACTACATTGTAATATTTCTACAAGGGCAATGCTGCTCTGCTGGCTATGTTCTGTCATGGAGCAGACTGGGCTTCATCAGGGCGCCCAGTGTGTTTGAACTGATAAAGATGTCAGAGGAGTCCCTGCTCCTTATCAGCCCTCATTGTTCAGCTCTTTCTCTCTCACTGCACTCAGTCGGCTGATAGTAAAGTGCCTTTGACAGCCTCTTCGTCTCAGACTTTTCTGTCCGCACAAGGTTTAGGTTTCCGGCGAGATAACACCAGACTTTGCTCCATATCTAACAGTGATATGAATGATCAATAATCTGGAGCTAGCTGACAAACATGTTTATCCTAGCAGTCTTATTTTTCCTGCCACATTAACAAAAAGCTTCGGGAAGTCAGTATATCCTTATTTGTTGAAGGAAAAGTATTTGTGGGATTCATTAACATACAGCTCGAGGACAGTTTGTCCCATGACGGGGAAATTAACTGCCTGTTTGCATTTCTTTGATCTAGTCCCAAATAATCTGAGAAAAACAATTATGGAAAACATGTCAGCTGACTTCCAGACATCCTGGCATATTACACTGACAGGCCTACACCTTCCTGCTGTGCCGTGTTGTTGGCCGACGTAGCTCCAAATCAATACTTTAACATGCAAAGACACAATCAATTAATCAGCGGCCCCTTTAACAACCTATACGCCCACTCTGCAGGGTGTGTGCTGTGTCAGACAGAGGGTGGGACTGTCTAGGTGAATTACACCCTCCCCCATCATTCTGATTCACAAAGTATCATAAACGTCCAGGAGGATCCACCGCCACATTAATCAGAAACATTAGGCAGCTAACGGGAGAATACTTACAGAGGACATTAAGGCTGTCTCTGGATGGAGCCCAGGAAATTAACAACTCAGCAGACAGATACAATCCACGGTAGATATGAGCGATGGGAGTAGGGAGCATGAAGGTGGGGTGAGCCTGTCTCTGGCTTGTACACAGAGTTGGCCTGACATGAGCAATTAAGCCGCTCAGGCTCCTCTGCATAAGCTGCATCACTCACTTCAATGCAAGAGGAAAGGCAGTAAATATTCTAATAGCCCTGCTCGGTGGAATAAGAGTGGTTAAAGGAGCCCACTCACAGCCTGACCTTGAGTAAGCACGGTTCATGGTTAACATGGAGATGGAGGATTTGCTCTGGAAAGTCATTAACACAAACCATAAGAACGTGTTTTTGCTGTTGATTTTGTGGTTTCAGTATTCTTTACTTTTGTTAGCAACTGAAATGAATAGTTTTCTAACAGAAAGAGGTCAAAGGTAAATTCATAAACTTTATGCCAGAAAAAGAAACTGAGAAGCACAAAGAGAAAGTTTGGCCAATTGTATTAAAGGAGCCATGCCAGAATAATCAGAAATGATACATTTGTATCCAAATGACAGTTTGAAACGAGAAAAGAGGTTTTTATGGTCACAGTAAAGCTATGAAAAAATATGAACAAATTAACAAATAGCGAATTGACTTTATCTATATAATGCTTTTCTAGCCCTCCAACCACTTACCCTACACGTTGCAGTCACTCACACCTTTGGGAGGAACTCGGGGTTCAGTGATTTGCCCAAGGACACTTAAACTGCAGGAAATTGGGATGGATCCACTAATATGTTTTCCTTGCATGTCTACAAACCCCCCAACTATGAGAAAAGTCCATCCTATCCAGCTTTTGCCTGCTCCACTTTTCAGAATAATGTATGCGTTCTCAAACACGCTGTTTGGAGATTTTCCCTTCATGACATCACAAAGGGCAGTAACCACTCCCACAGGTGGGTGACAGCTCTGCAGCTAGGTATCTCTTTTGTCCTCTGAGTCTGCATTTTCACCATAAACAATTGGACATGGAGCAAGAAAGCACAAGCCACCCAAGCCCTTCTAGAGGGGCGTGGTCAAACAGAGATCACTTGCAATTAAAGCTACAGACACAGAAACAGCCTATTCTGAGCAGGGCTGAAATAAAGGGGGTTTAGAGATGCTTTTTTGTTGTTGTTGCAAAAAAACTACACAGACATGTTTAGGGGAGCTCTGAGACTATTTTAAGCTGGTTGAAAATGAGTATAATAAGACCTTTAAACTGAGAGATGACCCACTCTACCACAGAGGCATGGCCGCCCCAAAGACACTTCAGTAATGATTTAATTTTTGGAATCTAAGCTCCTGTCTATGTGCATTAATTCCACTTATTATTTCTTTCTGTCTCCATTGGTTGAGTGCACATAAATGTTTAATTGTTATTTAATTCATACGTTTTACATTAATCTGACCTATTTGATTACAATGGGAGACCAGACACCACACTCCCCCCTACCAAGTATGCAGGTTTGTGAAACACTCAGAAATGCTGCACATTAGTTAAAAATGATATAGTTACAAAACGAGAAAAAAAATCTTCTTTACTGCCACAAATTAAAGTCACTGAGGCAGAGACAAGGAGAGGAAGACAAATTATTAGAGTTCAACAGGAATCCTGTGTTCAGGGAAACAGCTTGACATTTTAAAAAGTGTTTTCAGGCTTGGGAATGGTATAGAAGAAAGCATTTATGTCCATAGTGGATTGGCTCTGAATAAAAAAAGTAATTTTCAATCGAAATTGCTTTTCAGCTCATGTTGAGCTCCTTTAGATGGAATGTTGGGGATGGTCGCGACATCTTCAAAGGTGAATGAGTTGAGCTGCTGAGGATTGGCAGAGTTTCCTGCTCTGGTTGGCATCTAACCTTACCTGGTTTGTTCCATCGCTCCTCCTCCGGACTCACCGCCTTTTCAACAGTTCACACTGACACGTGTTGGCCTGCAAGTCAATCAATGTTTTTTAGTCCCTTTTTTTCCTGGGAATTTTGGAAGACCCCTTATTCATTTGGAAATGAATGTCTGCTTAGATGCTTTATTTAGCCTGTTATAGTAACTAACTTTGTCTGTCTCCCGTATGTTGCTGGGAAGAGTTTTTATACACTTACATTGTTATGAGGTTGAGGGAACCTGCAGAGTTGTTGTGTATAAATTGTTAATATAAAAATATCGATTTGGGTTGCTCAGTGTCTGCAGCTCAAATATGGATTTAACAAGATTGTAGTTAGTTGAGCAATTTTTCTACTACCAACTACTACTGTCCGTCCACTAACAACAGTCTCTTAACAAGGCTCTCTGCACTGCCCTAAACACAACTCTAACAAAATGTGCCTGTAAAATGATGATAGCTCTGAAGCAAGACAAATCTCCAAAGAGGTTAAAAGCAAACAAATGACCCAAGGCACTTATTCCACAAGTGATGTTTTCATTTCATTTGCACACTGCTCCAGTATTCAGGCTTAATGTCACTCTTTGTCTATGTACCGTTAATTCCACAGGTCAAAATTAGATAATTAGATAAACTGTATATCTCACTTTATCATCTCTTATGTCACATATTAGACAATGTTAAACTGGGCTGTTATGGTAAGATATCCTCCTCTACTATGATGTTTGATTTTGTTTTATTATTACTTTTGATCTGCAGAGTCTTACTCTCTTTTCTGATCCTGACAGGTTCAAGCAGGAAGATCAGCTAGGTGCTGTTACAGAACTGGAAATGACCACAGACAATGAGATTCTTTTCTACTTATTAAGACTTTTTTTGAGATTTTTTTATGTGCCTTTTTATGCCTTTATTCAGATAGGACAGTGGATAGAGTCGGTAACCGTTGAGCGCGAACGACAAGCAGCAAAGGAGCTTCATGTCAGACCTGGCTGCAGGTTTGGAGGATAAAGGCCTCTGTACATGGGATGCACGGACTAACCCCTAGGCCAACCTGATCCCCTTTCATTAAGACTTATAGGGATCTAAATGAGTCATTGAGCTACTCCTCATGAGCTGCTCTTATTTGCAAAGCCACAGATATCAGGACTCAACTTACACCGTAAGGGCCCTTTTTTAAAAATCCTGCTGTGCCTCATGCCCCGGGTTTGAAAGGGGCTCTAAAAATAAAGGAAAACTTGAGCAACCTGTCAGCAGTCAGTGCACATCAAACACACACTTTCATGTTGTTTGATGGTGTTTGTTTATCCTTTCTGGAGGATTTATATAGACGTGCTAAAGATAGAAGAATCTTCTCATCTATCTTTTGAAAAAGCTTTATTGCTCTGTTTACAACGTGTCTGCATACAAAAAAAGTGTCAGTCATCCAATGTACATATTTACTTTTTTTTTTACTCTTTGATTTGACGTTAACAAGCTATTACAGTTGAGTTGATACAACTCACACTGACATGCAGGTCGGTGTCGTTAAGAAAAAAAGGACGTGGCTACTATTCAAAATACTTCCAGTCAAACCTCAATTGCTGGAGTGATTATAGAAATAAATCATGTAAGTATGGCTCCATACAGATCTGACTCAAACTGTGTCTGTGTAGAGCACTAAGGCTCAAGACGACATTCAAGTCAGATCTTCATGTAGGCCTTCATAAAACACCTCACACCAATTTTCAAACACAGCAAAGTGGTTTTCTCTCCACTATATCATTAATTTCCCTATTTCTCTATTTAGGTTTTTAATACATAGATTTAAAAATGTCTGTAAATGCTAAAAAACACTTAGATAAAGGCTCGTTTCTACAAGAGCCTTCATCAGTCTTAAAGCACACATGCACCTACACATTTTATTTCGTCAGGATCTTGAGAATACATCTGAAGTGAACTCGCTGTCATGGGTAAAAAACAGCACAGTTGTCTCGAGGTTACAAGCTAACTTATATGTGATCTTGAGAAAACGACTGGAAGTTAATGCTTCTCACAGGAAAATAGAGTAAATTAAAAGTGTGGATCTATGTCCCCTTAGGCTTCTGTACATTTTTCTTGCATTCATATCACTGACCTTCACCACATCTTCGTCCGTAGAGCGACACTTGACGGCGTCAGAGACATCAGTAACAGAGGCATCTACTCCGATGGTCACCACTTTTACTGGGACAGCCACCGTCTTCCCCGTCAGCACGGCGGTGTTTAAAATCTCAGAGTCCTGGAGACAGAAAGAGATAGAGAGAGACGTCAGCACAGCAATGGTCAGAGGTCTGAAGGATTTATAGTCTAATGAATAACATTCAAACAAGCTAAGAAAGAACAGAAAAAGATGAAGTATCAAACAGACTTCAAAATGAACTCACGAGGCTTTTCACAATCACCACTCAGTTGGTGGTGATTGGATAAAGCCCTGTGAAATTAGAAACCTCCGATTAGTGAACATCTAATAACTGATGGTGGGTTGAAGTACCAAAGATCACATGCTTTTGCCATTACAGTGGTCTGTGGCAGCTCCACTTTACATTTGAACTTTCATTCCAGATGTTTTCAGTTTTTATAGATGTAGCATCGTGCATGATTTCAGCAACTTGTATTTGCCTGTCTGTTGAGTTTTTTTTATATTTTTTATATCACATTTTAAAAAATGTTTTATGTACTTTACAGGACCAGAGAGACAGGCATTGGAAATTACTTTAGCTGCAAATGCTGTGTTGTGTGGCATGCAACATACCTGTCTATAAACAAATAAAAATAAAATAAAGTTTGTTTTCTGAGATACTGTTAGGTCTGCTAAAGAATTGCTTTATATGAACAGATAAACACATATGTGGTTTTCATAAATGTTGTGAATATAATTACGAGGATGAAACCATTGCCTTCTCTGCCAGGCTCTTCAGATAGCTAATTGATGAAAGTAATTTACATAACGTTGTGGTCGGATGGTCACTAACATTTCTGATAGGCTGATAACATTTGATTTTACTTGATTATCAACAGGAGACAAATGAAAAGCTGCAAGACTTTCATTTCATATTAGAAAATTATCCATGCTCTATAACAGCCGTATTTTTCCATGAATCATTTGGTCCTCTGCTCGAACACATCGTCGGTAATATAACATGGTTAATCCAGTTTTAATTCATGTACTCTTGGATCCACGGTGATTTGAAGGCCCTCTTAAGGGTCTCTGTGGTGGTTGTGATTAGCATCCACTTCTGCATATGTTACTAATTCATATGAGAACTTAAATGAGATGTCTCATATCCTGGCTTGTTAGAAATACATTGATAATATTCAATGTCATTTCTACCTTCGGCTGTACAATTGGCCTTTTTCCCCAAAAATCCACTATTCAGGAAAAAATTGAGTCTAAATGCAGTCCTCTTCAGAGATGGGATGAAAAGGACTTCATAGATTCAGGGTTATAAATGAATAACAATTCTAAATAATTATTCTAGATTTAGTTTCCTAATAGAAACGTAAAGAGTCGTAAACAACAAAAACACAAGCAGTACCAAGAAAAAAAAAACTGGTAATAGGCTACAAAATGCAAGAACAACTTCTGAGAAATACAGAGAAATTAGACAAAAATAAGCCGAGAACAATACTGACCTGCAAAGATCAGAACAAAAGACAACTAAGGATTACATTTTAGGCTTGACACTTAACTTCACTGAATAGATTAAAAGGTTGCAATTCAGCTCAGGCCCAATGGGCCTACATTGTTTCACAAAAAATGAAGATACTGTGATCTGTTGGAAAATTCATTGTCAAACCAAGCGAACCTGTTTTCATCTCCACAAAGGCAAAAAGTGGGTTTGCCTAAAGATCATTTTACCACAGAATAATGCTTTATTTTCTATTTATTGTATTGATAGTGTAACCTAAAGTGCCATCAGTCAGCAACCTCCTCAGTAAAGTAGCACATACCAGCCAATCAGCTTTAACTATAAGCTACATGACAAAAAAAGCACCAATTCTGCAATAGTTACTCTCAGAGACCTGGGTGGTTTAGACAGCTCTGGTTCTTTAAATTTGATGGCATGACTTCATAGCTCTGAACATGAATCTTAACCTTTCATTAAACATATTCACACACACACCAGGATTGTCACAGGAGATAATTGGGGCCAATTAAGTAAAGTTTGAGCTAACTATTGCTCTATAAAGTCCCACTGGATTGTCTCTTCGGCGTATTCAACCCAAAGAAATTGCACTCAAATGATACAGTTTTCTATGAAAACATATAGGCAGCACATTAAAAAGCTGCACTTAGGTCAGATTTAAGCCTACTTCTCACTACAATGAATAAGGCATCTTGCTATTGAGGAACTGAATTGACTGTAGCTCATTGTACAGCATAACAAAAAGTCTCCCATTATAAGCTGTTTTTATTCAACAACGGAGATGGTCTTACACAAAAGCCCAGCTCAGATTTTTTATATTTCAATGGGTACAGGCCCCAAGATACTCCCCCCCCATCTTTTTTTGCTCTTTAGTGAACTTGTAGCTCTTCAGACAATTCAATGCTATTCTACTGAGGGAGCTGCCATTATTTTCCTTTTAACATAGAAATCTAACTGCAGACAGATGCCTGTTTGAATAAAATGTCACATTCATTTAGAGTATTATTGATAAACCTGACAAGCGACCAGTCTACAGTGTCTGACTTCCTGTCTTTATATTGGTGCATATACCACTGTCACCATGGAGGAACACAAGATTTGTTTATCGCTCTGTTAACAGAATTTCTAAAGACCCCTTGTGTTTGTGAGATTGTGAATAAGAGGCATTCAAATAAAAAAGAGAAAAGGAGGATTTAGTTTGGTTGAAAGGAGCCTGGTCGTTATAGGCACCAATTACTGAGACCATTCGGCTCTGGAGTGAAATGATTATTAGTTGAGCCAAGAGATACCAATGAATCACAAAAAAACACTTAATCTTCAAATGGCTTTTCATTACAATTTTATAGACTGTGACAGTGTTATATAGAAATATAAACCCACCTCTTCCCGTGCCACTGCATGACTTTGATTCAATTCCCCTTAAATTTGAGAGTTGCTGTAAATTAATTCTGTGTCTACTGGGAGTCCTCCATTTCCAGAGGGTCATCTATAATACATGATGGGGTAAATGGTTGGGACCTGGTGAAAGCGGAGGCTAATGTTAGATTACAGCAGCTGGAGATGACCCAGCAGCAGGCTGAGAGCTGCAGAGAGCAGGGCATGGCAGTAATAAGCCACAGCGGGATCTCACTGTGATGCATCAATGGTCTACACACTCACATATAGACAGCGCAATTAAACACCCAATGGAGACCAGCAAAGCACGTCAGCAGCGTTCCTCAGTCATCTTACAGTAGTCTGAAAGAGGAAACAGTAATATCTGGGCATGTGTAACGTGGAAAATGAAAAGATGAACATTTGAATTATGTGCATGTGGACGTTAAACATTTTTAACTTCAGCAGTGGATTTAGGAGAGATCGTATGACACTGTGCTAGCTTTGCTAAAAGACTGCTAACAATCTAAAAGGCTATTTCCTTCATGTGGAACAAACATATTACCCGTTGATGATATATTTTCTATTGATCTGCGGATCAACATAATGTAACTATTGGTATGTAAGAATCAGTTATTCCAGACTGCTCCCAATCTTAACATGTTCCTTTGGGAACTCTGGAGGAGTTGGTTGGTTTATCCAACAATCATAGCCTAGAGATACCTGAAATAAGTAGCCTAGAACATACAAGCCCTAAAACAGCCAATCAGAATTGTATACTCTCTATTGCTAAAACATGCAAGTTCTTGATTAGACATTCATATACCAAGTTTGATTTAACTCATCTTTTTGTACTTCTCTTTGTGTCTCCCTTTGACATGTGTCCTATTTGTCTCCTCTCCACTAAGTATGAACAAGATCAAAATGTAAGAAGATAACTATTTAGGATTGGAAAAGCACGAGACATCTACAATAGTACAAATGCTCGGATTCATATTTTTAAAAAGATTTCTCTGCATGCAGTTTACTTTCTAGTTCATTTGATTGTCAGCTGTTGACTCTGGTGTTTGTTCCTTATTTACCAGTCGATCTGCCGCCTTCCAGTCTCACAGATAGCAGTCTTTTGTTCAATAATCTGTGGAAGAACTGCCTGTCTGCTTTATCACGGATCTCTCTGTTAGCATTCAGCTCGATGCTGTGGCTGGTAATGTGCTCTGGGCCGTAATTTCTGCCTGTGTCTCGCTTGGATCTGAAAATAAGTGAGATTTATGGTGTCAGCCTGAGTGACATGGGCAGCATGAGAAGTAGAGGCGCTGCCCGTGCTGGTGCTGCGATTAGCCTCTTCTGCTAACACATCCACATTCTGACCCCTGAGTCCTGGCTACAGCAACAAATGAACAGGTCAAGCACAGTGGTGAGCTGGTGAGCTTTTTGGGCCTGCATTATTCATGGTGCAGTAAGGAGAGGGGAAGGCAGTAAATATTGTGTGTATAGGCTTGGCGTGTACTCCTATGAGGCTGTCTGGGAGAATAAAAGCTATAAGATGGACCCAAAAGCAGAAGTCAAGCTAATGAAACGATACACCCAATCTGGTATTTTCACTACCATCACTGATTACTTACATTGGAAATTTGTCATAAGGTGCTTTTTGATCTTTCATGTAATTTGAAGAGCAAATGCATTACAAGGCAGAATGAAACACATAAATAGTGAACAATCTTGTATGATAAATTTAATATTCATAGTTCTGATAAACATTTACATCCCTTGGTGATAAAGTATGCTGAAGAGCAAGGAAAATTTGGACTGGAAGCATAGTAAATTATACGCTGTAGACATTAAACGCCACTCATACTGAGTCCTGAAGCTATTAAGCAGACTAAAAGAGACATGTCCTTTCATCAGTTCCTCTCGCCACATTGTGCGACGCTCAATGTGGCACTTCCTCCCTTCTATTCCAGTGGGCGTTTAATTGGCTAGAAGCGAGAAACATGGAGGAGAGTGGGAATAAAGGCCTTGGTAGCACCATGCAGAGCGATACATCACCGCATGACAGCGCATTGAAGTGGTGGGATGGTTGTGAAGCCAACACACTGCCTTTTAATGAGGGTCTCTCTCTTGCTCCGTTCTCTTCTCTTCCCACTCTTCCTCATCCAAGAATGAGCCAGTTCCCCCCTTGTCTTCCCTCTCCAATCTTCTTATTTTCTTCCCGGCTGAC